TTACTTAAATTCGGTGATAGTAGTGTAAACCAAGAGAGAGAGAGAGAGAGAGAGAGAGAGCGAGAGAAAGAAAGAGAGAGAGTGAAAGAGAGAGAAAATAGAGAGAGAGAGAACAAAAGAGAGATAGAGAAAAGAGAGAACGAGAGAGTGAGAAAAGAGAGAACGAGAGAGTGAGAAAGAAAGTGATGTTATCTTTAGAGATAGCCTGAAGATAAGAGAAATATCCGCTACCTAAGCGTGGGCTTATATACAGATCGAGTATGGTTAGGAACCCGACAAAATGATCGGATAAAGAACAAGTAAGAAACAAATCTCAATTTAACGTTTTACTTTATTAAAGCTTCGCTAAAGTGTGTAAAATCAAAATATGCACAAAAAACACACGAGTTTCACTTTAATGAAAAATCTAACGAAACAAAAATTTTACGGATGTAAAAAGGAAAACCTTCAGGATTTTATTATTGTGTTTTTATTACTCTTTCTAGATTTTCAGTTCAACTGTAACTTAATTTTAGGGTGTTTTTATTAAAGATTTTACACACTTCATCTTCAGGGGCTTAAATTGTCTTTGTATGTATATACCCAGTTCTGTAAATTCATAAAATTATTAATCTCCGTTTTACTGCAGTTTTTTTTCCGGACGTGTATAATTTCTTATACATATAAGATTATTACTAGTATATATATATATATATATATACTAGTAATAATCTTATAATATAAAATGTAATTCTTATACATATAAGATTATATATATATATATATATATATATATATATATATATATATATATATATATATATACTAGTAATAATCTTATAAGTATAAGAAATTATCCTCGTCAGAAAACCTTCGTGTCTTGATTTGCAAATAATCAAACCAATACCAAAGGGAAAAAAAGGTACAAAAAAAAGAAAGAACCAAGAACATGTACGTTAACCGAAAATAATCGTCCAAAGAAAGAAAAAAACAGATACGAGTAAGCAAAATAACTAAATACAGTGCTCAATACGTTAAGTAGAGCAGACCTAAATAAACCTAAAGAGCCAGACAAACCTACCAAGGTTTCACCTAAGCGGATCATCAGGGAAAACTGGCAAAAAGGGTGACGTAAGAACGGAATATATTCCGTTCTTACGTCACCTCTTTAGCCAGCTCTCCTGACGATCCGCTTAGATGAAAACTGGTATGTTTGTTGGTCTTGAGTTTTATATATATATATATATATATATATATATATATATATATATATATATATATATATATATATATATAAATATATATATATATATATATATGTGTGTGTGTGTGAGAGAGAGAGAGAAAATATATAGAAAATAGGAAATAACTCGTTAGGTAAAACAATGGACATTATGGAAGTCGTTTTGTTATCGGTATCAAATGGAAGAATAACATCCATAGACATCGGTAGTCTCTGAGAGGGTATCAGTTTTGCAACTGAAAGACAAGTAGAAAGGAATAGCGATGCATTCAGACCGAAATATAAATATTAAAACACGTAGTAAGTAATATTAAGTGAAATGAATACCAGAAGCATTGTTCGTATCCACCTTTGCAAAACTATCAATAAATTTCCATCGTTCATCGTAGAGAAAAACTAGAAGATCCTCAGTGTGGCACCATGCATCCTGACGATTTGAAAGTAATATTTATAGATATATGATTTGCTTATTTACGGTTTATCAACCATTTGATAATTATTTAAGGCCGAAAAAATATTTTAGGTTTTAATAATAATTCCTTCTTTGAATTCAAGCGATTTGGGAGAAAGAAAGAGAAAACGAAGAAGAAAGAAAGAAAAAGTAATACCAGACGGGTCATAGGCGAACACACAGACACGCGGCTTAAGAGACGGAAATGAGGAGGAAGAAGGTTATTGTTGATAGATATCAGATGTCGAAAATATCTATGTCACCTACGAACAAGCGCTGACCGATTTCCGCTTGTCCACGAAAAATGGAAATTTGTTATCATTGGATGTCACCAAAAAGAAGAAATCCATTGTTGAACATTGACGAAACACAGACGGTCTTCCCTGGGTGTAAAGAATTGAAAAAAAAATTTCCCACACAAGTAGTTTTCGCTGGCTAAGTTTTTTTTTTTCCTTTTGACAGAATAAACGCTTTCCCTGTGATGATAAAGATTTTTTGTTGTCAACCTTTGAGCCGAAAGATAAATGAAATGTATTTATTTTTGCTTTAGAAACGCCAGGTAGGCTAGGAAAATTTCTTTCTTAGATCATATCCAATTAGCGATAAACTGCTTGACGAATGCCACGTGTTAAAGCCGAGAGTGTCACATCGGCCGCTCATGATAAGGGCGATTTAATTAGTTTTTTTTAGTTAAGCAAGGTATCTCTTTCCTAAAACAAAGCCACGGGTTGATCACGCCCGACTAAGACGTCATTGGCCAAGTGGATCACATGACGCACGAAGGAGGAGGAAAAATACCCGACGAAAACGTCATTGGCCAAGTGGATCACATGATGCACGAAGGAGGAGGAAAGATACCCCACCAGGACCTCATTGGCCGAGAGTGGTCACGTGACGCACGAAGAAAATCAGTCGACGCCTCTATCCAAAGTGTAAGTATGAGAAGCCGATACGAAGAAGTAGGGAAGTTAGTGCACGCCCCCCAGAAGCACAGTAAGAGAGTGGGAGGAGAAAGGAGTTACCAAAAATGGAAAAAGTGGAAAATCCCTAACCAGAAATAAGAAGGGTGGATACGTATTTAGAATTATCGAAGAACCCCTGGTGCCGACAGACCCACCCCAGTTTTGACGGCGTCAATAAAAACGAAGCCCCACCAGACAGAAATCAGTTTGAGTTCAGCCGCGGACCCTGGCGAGAAGTTTTGAGCTCCGGACGACAAGCAGAGATGAACGCCCAGTGTTGAAACCACATCAAGATAGCTGACCAAGATTCACGCACACTTTTGGACTCTTCATCAACCAAGAACAAGTAGTTTGAAGAGCGACTTTGGACCAGACCACAGAAATAAGTTTTTCGACTTTCGTCCAAAGACACACCGAAACACAAATTTCTTAGAGATTAGACAACTTGAAGCGTTAGAATTTGCCTAGCGAAAGCGTCGTGCCATAATCCACAGAACGGGTCGGGAAGTAGACATAGTCCTATGTACCGAACAAATAGACATAAAAAGTTTGTTACCTTTTTCTTTGATACCTTGAACTTTGTGAGTTTTCATTTTCTTTTCTTTTATACATATTTGTGTGTTATCACCCCCGTTGAACTCAGCTTGCATTACGGCCCCGACCCCTGTTTGATCTCGTCTGTCTAAGATCAATTCACAACGTGGGTAGGCAGACTGGAGATCAGTGCAGTTGGAAGCAGGTTGGGAACGGCGAGGCTGGTATCAATCTAACCAGATTCCTACCCGAATCACCAAAGGGTTAGAACGTCACGTTGGAGCAGCGACACCTGGACGGAGCAGCGAGGTGCGAACAGCTGACGCCGCGGCGAAGACGTCACAATTGGTGCTGTTTAGGGACGTCACAACTGGCGCCGTGGTAGATCAGGATAGAACGTCACAGTCGGCGCTGCGACCGGGGGACGACGTCACATCAGTATTTATATAAATAGAAACGGTCATGATGAGATGAAGATATTTACTTCTCCGGTGATCAAAAGGTGTCAACTTTTTATCTCCAACATTTTAAATGTCTCCAGTTGCATATAAAGATATAAACATTTAATTTTAGAGTATTTGTGAAGAAAGAAAAGCAAGAATTATTGACTCAAGGCGTTGTTATTTTTAACGGTGACGTAAAATATCTACATTATCGAACTCATATCTTCATTGATATATTCACAACGTTTCGGCCTTTGTACGCTTCGGCCTTCTTCGGGTGATTGCAATTTCGAACTGAATCCTTTATTTGGTCCGCCGGGGAAGATTGTTCGAGTTCCACGTGCCATGCCTCAGCTATTTCCCTTTATCTCAGCGCTCCAAGGTTTTCGGTTCACCACTGCTGTGACCTGGTATTGAACTCACAACACTTTCGATCTAGTCACTGGATCTAACCAACGAATTTTTTATCCACTGGGTCACGTATCCGTGAGTCTGAATAATGCAAATGTCGTATACGTAAAGATGTTCACAAACAGACAAAGGTGTTACTCGAGTGAAAGGAATAGCAACACGGGCGTAGATGAAAGAGAGGTTTATTGTAAAAGAGATTACATGACTGAAAGACAGGGACACGGTTAGAAGGCTAGTGAATCCCGAAGCAAGGATGCTTACCAACCGCCTCACGCGGTCAGATGTGGCAGAAGACCGAATGAAATGTGGTGTATCCGAGTCCGGAAGCTCGGCCAATATTTTCCCTGTATAAAACGGGGTCGGTTAGCATAGCCTAATCTGGGTTCCTCCCTGCCCAGAGTTCGACCAGCGCAGCTGGAGATAAATCTCCGACTAATTGCCGAACAAAGTTCGCCAGATATATTCCGTGCACAGTATATATATATATATATATATATATATATATATATATATATATAAATTACATAAATTACACTACCCATCAATTTCTAATCACATTTTTCCTCTCATTTCATTGTTGGAAGTGTTACCTGATGATCCGAAATCCTTTAAAAAGGATTTTGGTGAAATAAATTATTGTAATGGTACCTTAAAGTGGTCTGTTTTTCATTAAATATTAGCTCTGTTCTTCACATTGAGCTCTCAGGATTTCATCCTCCTTGGATTTACCAAATCGGTTTACCAAGTTCTTCATAACTTAACTTAATATATATATATATATATATATATATATATATATATATATATATATATATATATATACTGATATAGTCAGTCCACAATAGGCTATAGGGAGAGTGGCCATCAGTAAATAATGCAAATAATCATAATAGCTCATCTCAGAGATACAAACAGATAGTAACGTATGTTGTCTTCAAGAAACGAAAATCAAAGGACTTGATATATCGGGCTTTGGATAGACAGTAGATATTATGTAAACAGTTTTGTCATTAATACTAAATGGAACAATAACATACATAGACATTGGTGATGAGGATGATGAAGATAATTATGAGGATGGGGGTGATAATGAGGGTGACGATGATGATGATGATGATGATGGTTATAATGATAAGGATGGTGATGATGATGAGGAGGAGGGGGATGGTGATGATGATGATGCGGTTGAGGATGATAATGATGATGAGGATGAAGATGATTATGATTATGATGATGATGATGTTGATAATGATGATGAAGTTAATAATTCAGTTACCAAACGTTGTCATTTAGAAATATTGCAAACGTATCCAATTGCATATAAAAGTTTTATTATGAGGACATTTACTTTTAAAGACTTTCTGAAAAACAATGTCTAGAATTATACTTTCATCTCCTCATAACATTGAGGTATGTTGTCTCCAAGAAACTAAAATCAAAGAAGAACTTGATATGATGATTAATAACTTTGGAAACAATAAACATTATGTAAATAATTTTATCATCAATACCCAATGGTATACTAACACATTGAGCGACGACATTAAATGAACTATCAACAAATTTCATCGTACCGCGTAAAAACCTTGAAATCAAATTGATTTAAAGTGTGCCTTCAAAACGTAACAGCTTTAATGATGCCTGACTTCTGTCTATAAATGCTGGTTACTAAATATTTCTACATTGGCCTTGATAAAAGTTCTCCAGGAACAAAAGGCATTGACATAAAAAGTTTTCCTCTTTCCATTTCTTTCATTAATACCGTAATTACGGATATGTCTTTTTTTATATCTGATTTTTTTTTGTACACACATTCAGGCACACACACTTATATATATATACAAGCTCCGATGGATAGATTGTTGTCTAAATTACGCATGAAACGAAAATAAATCTGACATCGCATTTTAAAAGACATATTTACCAAAATGACACAAAACTATCTTGTAATACTGTTGTAGAGTAGTTTTCACATTGGAGGCTTGTATTTCACTAAGTCGGTCCTAAATTAGGTTCGACGTACAAAACGTTAGGAACTTGCAATAATAGTTAATGTCGCAGCAATCAAGTTGTGGGGCTCATATTTTAATGTTCGACATCGACTGACTCACACAACTCACTGAGCTCTCCTGGTGACTGCTACTACTAGTACTTATCTGTGGGAGATTCTATAGGTACATTCCGGTATAACAAATACTAAAGAGTAAATTTATTCAATAAAATAGTTATTGGCTTTAAACACGGCCTCCAGACGACTACGGAATCACCTGTATCTTTTCTGGACGGTCTCCTTGTATATGATGGTGAATGTCGCCATAATCCTTGCTTTCAGTTCATCTTTAGTGTTGCAAGGATTTTTGTTGGTATCTGCCTCAACTGCATGCCACATATAATAATGAAGGCGTTTGCAGTCTGGGGAGTTAGGTGGCAAGATGTAAAGGGTGATGATGTGGCCGCAAAAATTGTCTGACAGCCATGATTAGATTGGTTTGTTTTTTTGGCATCGTGTATAGTCTTGTTGCTAGACATAAGTTCTTGCAGTAACCACCCTCTTGACCCAGGACAGAACTACCGGCGCGAATACCAAGCAGTACTGCATGTCATTTCAAAAATTCAGGTGAAATGAATTGCGCCAAAATGCTCTTTTTCTCAAAGACGTTGCCTAATTTATGTTACTATATTTTGCAGTCGATAAAATCAAAATCTTACAACGCGCATGCGCGAAATTAAAAATATAAAATGACGACAGTTTACCAATCGCATCCTGTATATATATTAGCCATTGATAGGGCACCTCGACGTGGTATAATGTTAGAAAGCTTGTCTTGCTAGATCAATTACGACTAAGTAGTGAGTTCGATCCTCATTGGGTGACCAATACTTGTGCCACCTCTAAGTCTCGCTCGGAAAATTATTAATGATGCATCACCCTTGCATATTTATATAAGCCTATGTAAATTTAGTTCTGTGGTAGTCATCCGCAATATATATATATTTCCGTCCATTGCAAAAAAAATCCAGAAATATGTTTTATTTGACGTGAGATGATGCCAAACCAGGATTGGTAAAGGAACGCAAAATTATTTTTAAAATAGTCCAAAATATTCGATATTTTAAATTTGTTTTGATTTGAAATAGAATTAAATAGATAGAGAATAAAGAAGAGGAATAAAAAAGTAACCAAAATAGTAGTTCAAGTATATGTTGGGTTTTTCTAATCTTATTCCTATTTATATATAAGTTCTTGGTTACATTGACCGATATTGTAACGGAAAACTGAATCCTTAGGCTGTTTTCCCTTCGATCCACGTTTATTGAGTTCACTTAGAAGTATTCTCTTGTAAAACGTATGATTCCATCTCTCCATCACCAAATTCTAAGCCAAATACCACAGTAATTTACGAAGCGTAGTTTAGACATTGAACAAGGCCCGCAGGTATGGAACACCTAGTAAAGATCAAACGTATTGTTTATCTGTAATTGAAGTCGCGAGACACGTTTGATAACATTTATACCGCATCGAAATGCATAGCGATTTAATAAGAATCTGTTGACTCCGGACATGTAGATGCTAAGATTGTAAAGCTGCGACAGTAATAAAGAGTTCCAGAGAAAAGCAATAATAACAACGAAAATTGCAATATGAGCTATGGTAAAAAAATGTAATGGTAACAGCAAAAACTGCAGTATAAGCACTGGTAAAAAATTATTATAATTCCATGTCCTCGATAGTTTGTTCTACAAAGTTATGATTCCAGGAAAGAAACTGTTTGACTGGATCTTCTTCTTTACAAAAGGAATACGAATTTGATGGGGATGATTTGCCCCTGTAAATAACGGGTCCTAGCTGTGACATTTAGAACTGGCTGAGTCAAGGAATGTAACAGGTTAGTACATCTGCCATAATAATTGTGATGGGATAGTAAGATTCTAGTAACGTTTAGGTAGTTGTATAGAGGTTTGGAAAATATTTCATACCACACAAGCCCGCGTAAACGCTTTTAAACTCTATCAATGAGATCTGGACAGAATCAGCCCAGATATAGCAGTAGTACTCCATTCTTGGTCTGGTGTTCTTTGCAGATATAAAGCATGGGGAGTGGTAGTTCGGTATATTCTGAAACGATGCAAGGAACCTGCCATTCTTTCAATTGATTGAGTTACTTAGCACGTACATCGTGACAGTACTTCATAAATAACGGTCTGTTCCACGAGGAAAGATAGAAAATATATAACAGAGTCGCTGTTTGGTTTCAATGAGAGAAACAATGAAAGGAAAGATAAAAGAGGCGATATTTCCCATGTAATTAACATCTGATTCACTGAAAAGAAAAAAAAAACATGTCAACTTTTAATATTTTCATTTGTCTACGCTTACTACATCAAATAATCACCTGCTTTCGTCTTTATGATTTTTATTGCTATATTAAGCTAAGGTTTTTAAGCACAAACACTTAATGCAATACATGTAATGCCACGGGTATTTTATAGTCGTGGAATTCGTAAGGTTTATCTTAATTACGATTCATCATGAAATTAAAATAGGAAAAGCGTGAATTTTTAACGGTCTTTTTCTAGTTATTATTAAGGCTAACTAAGTTTAAGTGACTTCCATGTAATCACAATCGTTTAAATGTCTTTTTTTTTAAAAAAAAGAATCCATTAGGTATTACGCATTCATTCAAAAAATATTTACCAGTTTTGATAAGTTTTCTGGGTGGGGAAGAAGGCAAATCTTTTAAGAAGTGGACACACTCCTTACATAAATGTATAGATATACAATACTGCATTTGGAAAGAAAGAAAGAATTCGAAGGGATATATGAACAAAGGCAGATCGGTCAATAGATAGATAGATAGATAGATAGATAGAACGGAATTGAAAAGAAAAAACAAAGCTCAATAGAAGCCTTTGAAATATATGCACAAACACATATAGATAGAAAATACATAGATAGATAGAGAGTGAGAGAGAGAGAGAGAGAGATAGATATATAGAGAAAAAAACCTAAGCTATATATGAACAGATAGATAGATAGATAGATAGATAGTGAAGAAACAGAGATTGATAGATAGGTAGATAACGAAGAGACATAGATAGATAGATAGATAGATAGATAGATAGATAGATAGATAGATAGATAGATAGAATGGCATCGAAGAGAATGAATAAAGCTCGAGAGAAGCCTTTGAAATATATGCACAAACACAGATAGATAGTAAATACATAGAGATAAATAGAGAGACATAGAGAGAGAGAGAGAGAGAAAAGCCTCAGCTATGTATGAACAGATAGATAGATAGATAGATAGATAGATAGATAGATAGATAGATAGATAGATAGAAAACAGATAGAAAGATAGATAGATAGATAGATAGATAGATAGATAGATAGATAGATAGATAGAATAAACCAAGACTAAGACTAAGAGATCTTACGGGAGATAAAAAAAAAACAACCTTATCATGGAGCTTAACAAAAAACAACAGAACTGTAATGCTAATTGCTATTGTAATATTAGGTGTTTCCTTGCAACGAAATGTTCAGCAGTCATTTATCAAGCAGCCAATGAAACTCTCAATTGAAATCCATGATATATTTTCCGTCCTTGTAAGACGTTAAACTACATCCGCGTCCTGGGTAAGACGATAAGCTACATCCAACAGCAAGGCCTCTGATCAGGAGGTTTTGAGGAGCATGGAACCACCTCTTAATCGTTGGTGTTCCCAGGTCCACCCTGACCCGGGATGGTAGCACCTGTTACGGTCCAATCTAGGGGTAAATTATTAACTATTACCAGCAATACTTTTTGGAAAAATTATTACCAGCAATAAATTTTTGAAGGAAAAATATTACCAGAAACAGAGCTTTGACAAAACAAAATATTACTAGCAATAAAAAAAAAATTGTCGGCATCAAATGAACCATTGGGGTTGATATGCCGTAAAACAAAATAAACCAAACCAAACCATGACATATTTTCAATGAAACACATTTCTAGGACAATATGATTCTCAAGTCCAGTAACTTTTGTCCACTATTGCTTCCTTTTAAACCTCTTGTTCGAAGTAGAACGTCAACATATTGATTATGTCATAATTTACTCTTCAAAATACATATCCTATATTGTTTTTGTTGTTGTTGCTGTTGAAAGGCCTCAAGTAAATGTAGTTTTCCTTATTTGTCTCAGTTATTTGCCTGTGGTTGTGAAGCACCAGTCAGCGGTATTTGAGAAATAGGGTTCTCGTTAAAACATACAGGCTTCTTTCGTTCAAAGTCATTTCAAATCATCGATCTGTGAAAGCTGTTGTTTCCATCTGACAGGTTAGATATCTCTGAACGGATTTCACGCCATCCATGACATCCATAAGAAAGCCTCGATCTGACGAGTCTATTTAAATCAGAACACGTGATGTTAGGTAGATCGGTGTTTGTAGACATTTTTGTTGTGTTCTTATCAGATAGATAGATAGATTTAAGAAAAATGAAAGAAAGAAAGAAAGAAAGAAAGAAAGATAGATAGATAGATAGATAGATAGATAGATAGATAGATAGATAGATATAAAGAGAAATATGAATTGAGACAGATAGATACATAGATAAAGAAAACACATAGATAGATCAAAAGACTGGGATAGATAGATAGATAGATAGATAGATAGATAGATAGATAGATAGATAGATAGATAGACTGGTATGAATAGAGGGAGATAGTCAGATAAATCGATATATATGAATAGACTGAGATAGATAAATAAATAAAAAGAAAGAAACATACTGAGATGGATAAATAAACAGATAGAAAAAAGATACATTCTGACATAGAAGACAGACCGACAGATAGATAGATAGATAGATAGATAGATAGATAGATCAATCGATGAAGAAAGCAAGAAACATAGATAGAGATAGATAGAAACACAGACAGAGAAAAAAAAGAAGGAATCATAAATTGAAATAGATAGATAGATAGATAGATAGATATGGTAAATAGAAGTATATCGTTTATAAAAATCGAATCAAATTTCTTTTTACTTGTGAATACTATAATACATTAAATAATATATAAATTATGAACGAATTAAAAGAACGATACGCAAACCTAGAATGCAAGCTTAATATGATAAAGAAATAAGGCTGCGCCTATTATTCTGCCAAACGCATATGCATAATTGTACGTGTGTATGAGAGAGGAGAATAAATTATATTTGGGAGTACTTGTAGGAATGAACCATTGGAAATAGTTAAATTTTCCCGGAAAAAAATAAAACAAACAAACCTGTTGATCTGTTAAAAGATGAAAATATCAAGTTCTTCCTTTAAAAAAGAAAATCACATTTGGTTCAGCGGTAATCAATCAGTTCTTTTTGGTTTTCATAAACATCCTGTGGGATTTACATCGATTCTCCTGCATTTGTATGAACCTAGGTGGTTCTGTGAATGTTTGTGGCGTGCGCGTATGAATCTGTACTTGAATAAGCAGGTGTGCTTTGGTCGATATTCAAAGTTCGGGGTATTTATATTAATACTATTGGTTTTAAAATCCTGAAATAAAAACCTGCATTATTGTTGACTAAGAAATACAGTTGGATGTAAATTTACTTACGTCTAAATTATTTTCCTAAAATTTTTTCTAGTTAGTAATTCCGATTTTTTTCTGAACGCAAGTCTTTATTCAGAGTTATGAAAAAATAAATAACAAATGTTTTTTAAGCTTACCTCTCTGAAGAGACATTTTCTTGTGAGATTATTTAAGAAAACACGTCTTTCTGGTTAGAGGGAAAATATTTTTTTTCATTTTCTCATAAAAACATGTCTTTCGAGTACAATATGGGAATTCTATGTCTCTTCGTTTACTATAACCTAACAATCCTGGGGAAGCAACTCCTGCTTCTTATTTATGAATCATTAGAAGCTCCAGGCCACTGTCAAGAATGTGTCTTTATTGGACAAAAAAAACAGAAACAAATTCTCAATGGCCAGACATATTCTGGGATGTTCAGTTTATCCAGCAAGTCCATGGTATCAGCAACTGTAACACCAAAAATCAATGTGGGCTACTGAAAATCATTTTCATGTTTCCGAGTTAGTAATTGGAGTGTGGTGTACAACACTAGAAAATACAAATTGTACATTATTAAGCGAGTTATATCCAGTAGTACCAGAAGAAATTTTTAACCTATCACGCCCGCTTTAAACCCTACTAGATTAAAGGCCTCCCTATCGGGAGGCATTTAAGCTAGCTCTTGATCGGGCATTCATTACAATAGATTGGGATGAGTAGGCAGGATTAAACTACAGAAGACTTCACATTTGATCGCTGCATTTAATATTTGCATCAATATTTAAGCCTACCTTTTAAAAGTTCAATGATAATTCTTCTATCGCCACTTAATTTTCAGACAATTTGATGTAAGTAGGTCCTTACTTTCCGTACAAACAATTATTTTATTTCTTGGGTGACTTTCGCTGGATTTCGCAATTAATTTCGATTATTCACAAATTTATTTCCAAGTTATAAAAATTGTTACCGTACAAAAAAATTCATCGCAAAAAATCACGCCGAAAATAATCGCAGTTATGAAAACTTGAGAATCCAAAATTTCAGGATTGCGAATCCCGATGCAGTTACGGAATGTTTTTAATTTGATCACGAAGTCGGCCTCTTTCCAATATGCTATGATATTTTGCGCTACGCCCTCTAGGAGTAAAGTTGGAAAACTGTGACACACTGACTTTCGTATTAATTATATAGAAGACAATGCGTATAATAGCATAACGTATTATCTTTCTGTATGAAGTGAATAGATAAATGAGAAGAACTCTAGCTAATCGGAGTCTCACAGACATTTCGAGATTCGCGTGTCTGAATTAAGATAAATCTATTCATCTTATTCCTGACGAACGAATCTGTGTCTGCAAAATTCCGAGCCGAAAGATTAATTTTGGGACTTTCTAATAATAAAGACCCAGTTTTGAATAGTGGCTATTTTATAAACAAAAGCCCGATCGCCTTTTGTGAGTTATGTCGCCAATAATTTACTTAATTAGCTGCTTTGTTCGGCGTAAACCATTTGTCTCATTATTTCTTTATTATGTATATATGTATTTATTTATGGATGGATGGATGGTGTGGCCATAAGGATCAACACGTATATAGACCGTCAGTTTAACGCTTCAATATGATATTCAGATTAATATAGCAAATTTTAAACTATAAATACCCGTGACCCGTTGGGTCACTGACGCTTCAGCTTGTAAAACACTAAAGTTTGTTTCATCATTGAATAAAAAATATGTGCTTGAAGAATTAAAAATACTTATTTACTGTATATAAAATTCGCATTTTTAAATCTTATTCACTTAAAATGTTTTAAAATGAAAGAAAGCTGAAATATAAATAAGTATGCACGCAATCACAGAGAGGTGGAAAGAGGAGGGTGGGAAGAGGGAGAGAAAAGAGGGAGAGAGGTGGAAAGAGGGAGAGAGGTGGAAAGAGGGAGAGAGGTGGAAGAACAGAGAGGTGGAAAGATAGAGGTGTGGAAAGAGAGATATGGAAAGAGAGAGGTGGTAAGAGAGAAAGGTAGAAAAACAGAGAGGTGGAAAAACAGAGAGTTGGAAAGAGAGAGGTGTTGAAACAGAGAGGTGGAAAGACAGAGAGTTGGAAAGAGAGAGGTGGAAAGACAAAGATGTGGAAAGAGAAAGGTGGGAAGAGAGAGACGGAACTAGGGAGGTGAGAAGACAGAGAGGTGGAAAGAGAGAGAGAAGTGGAAAGAGAGAGTTGGAAAGAGAGAGAGGTGGAAAGAGAAAGCTAGAAAGAGTGAGGTCGAAGGAGAGAAGTGAAAAGACAAAGGAAGAAAGAGAGAGGTGGAAAGAAACTTAAATCATTCAGGGCTCGGCAGAGAGTATTAGTATATATATATATATATATATTATATATATATATATATATATATATATATATATATATATATATATATATAGGTTCAGATTATAAAATTGTCTGTTTCAAGAAAGTTGAAATAAAAAACTTACTGTATAAACAATTAGTATTTTTAAATCATATCAATTGAAAATATTTTTAATATGATGAAACAATTTTTAAATATTTAGAATATTGTTTGTTTAAAGTAAGCGGAAATATAATTAAGTACGCACGCAATTACGGAAAGGTGGAAAGAGAGAGAGAGGTGGAAAGAGAGAGAGGTGAAAAGAAAGATAGGTGGAAAGAGTGAGAGGTGAAAAGAAAGAGACGGAAAGATAAAGATATGGAAAAAGAGGGGGTTTCTTTTTTTCTTTTGGTCTCACTGTCAATTCACCGCATTTCCTTCTCTCCTCCCTTCCTACACGATAATATATTTACATCTTTCATTGTCCACTCTCTATATATGATATCGTGTGCACGGTGGCAAACACCCAAGCAAGCAGGCAATATTCGCGGAGTTTTATTATCATAAAGATGGACCCTCGAGAGTCGGACCATAAAGCATGCACTCGTTAACAAGGATTCGCCAAAGCCTGCTATCGAGGACGCCATTGACAATATGAATAAACAACACCTGACCAACGCATGCAATCGTTTATGCAGGCGTATCGAGGCTGCAATTGAACGGACATTTCTGCATATATGCAAGAATATACAGGGTAACCTAAAAACATTGACATATATTAAAACGTGAATATCTGAGTAACTATATGTCCCAGTCAAACGAAACAACAAAAATTTATTTATCAAAATTAGAAAAAAAGATATACAAAGAGATATAGATTTTTTTTTAAAGCGTTTCAACCCAAACAAGGTGGGAAGCCACTTGCACGCAAGGGATTACAGAGTTGGAGCTAAAGCAAAGAGGAATGATAGAGGAAAGGATGAAGAGAAGGATAGGAGATAGATAGGACATCTGGAGACGTCGATTGACATTAGATTTGAATAGTTGGAAATTATAGCTATCAGGGAAGCAGGAACATGGGAGGGAGTTCAACAGGCGAGAGGTGCGAGACATGAAGCTATTGGAGCAGAAGAGACGGCTACATTTAACAGTGTCGACAGTGAAAGGGCGTGAGTGTCTAGTAGAACGCTTAAATTCATGAAGTTTGAATTTTATAACCGATTTCAAAAACTTTCATAAACATTTAATATGCACAGCACCTACGACACGAAACACGTTAAGTTGGTAGTCCAGCTCCTGCTAAATACGTTGTAGCATCTCTTGCGTAACATTCTACAACGTCTCAGTGATTCTCTTCTTAAGTTCCCCTAGGCTTATCGAAAGAGTGGGATGTAGACTTGTCCTTTCACATAAAAGCATATACAAATTCACAATGTGTCATATCAGGTGAACGTGGTGGCCATTTCAACAGTATATTGCCATTATCATTGGCACGCCACCCGATCTATCTTCCTTGTAGGTTCTCATTTGAGCTAAGTCCGCAGGGTCAACGTTAGGTTTTACATATTTTGTTAAAATTTGAGATTATTTGAGCGAGAATTATCTATGTTTGTAAATTAAAAATGATGTCAATTTTGGGGGGATACTCTGTACCTAGTAAATTCTGTAATAATAACCTATATAATCATATATTGTTTTCGTTATTTCCATTATTCGGACTATTGTCCTCATCTTTGTCGCTATATTTATTACAACGTTTCGATCGTTGTAAGCTCCGGCCTTCTTCAGGTAGTTGATCCACTGTGCCATGTGTCCTTGAGGATATCTGTGTAAGGATTTCTCGGTATTATAAACCTAACGTCATCAGCAACCATTTTATATTAGTGCTCATATTGCAATTTCTGCTGAGATCATTGCATGTTTTTACCAGTGCTCATACTGCAATTTTTTATTCAGAGGGAAATTAACAGGAGATAACTGATAACTGACATCCATTTAAACATGGCACGTGGAACTAGAACAGTCTACCCCATTGAGCGAAATAAAGTGTTCAGTTCGACATTTCAACCACCTGAAGAAGGCCGGAATGTACAACGGCCGAAACGTTGTAAAAAATATGGCGACATAGATGAGTACAATAATCCGAATAATGTAAATAATGTACATGATACCTCATCTCAGAAATATAGACAGATATTTTTTTCTTTACTTTAAATAGTAGCGTCAAGTTAAAAATATGTTCTCAAATTTCTGAAGCTGATTTTATATTACTGTCCAACTGCCAGTGTCGTAGGCAATATATATATATATATATATATATATATATATATATATATATATATATATATATATAACAATATCATGAGGATCATATAAAATAAAAATGATATACGATGATTTATTTTCATATAATCGAAAACAGCCAGATATGACGGTCTAGTTGTATCAATCTGTTGTCCAGTATAGCGTTTCTTATGCCGATTAATCTATTCTGTTGTGGTTTTGAATATTTCTGTCCGCTAAAATTCTCTGATGATTATCAGAAAGAAAAGGGTTCCGAGGAATAAATGAATAAATAAATTAACATGGTTTCGCTTTTCTCTGCTACAACGAAATCATTCATCATAATCCATTGACATGACACAGATGACGTGGAATGGATACAAATGTTTCTCTTATAATTCGGATGTGGTTTGCAGTCACAAAGCACCATGTAAGATGTTGGAGTATGAAGAATTCAAACACTCCAGCTATGTCATTTCTCTGCATTACCGTTTTATTTTTTTTTTTTTTTAGTATTTACATTGAGACAAAGGTTCCCGCTTTTGTTATTAATATTATTTGAGTTTTTTTTTTTTTTTTTTTTTTTACCGCGCCTATACTACACCCAAGAATACTGAGCTGCTGTTCTTATATACGGCACCGAATGCTGGACGGTCCCCCCAAAAGATGAGACTCGAAGCAACGGAAATATGGTTCTACTGAAGGATGCTAAAGATATCATGGACCGAGTGTCTGAGCAACGATGAGGTTTTGGAGAGTATGCAAAAGAGTAGGAAGCTTCAGTATCTGTCTATATTGCTGAGATGAGCTATTCTGCACACTATTTACATTATTCGAACTATTGTCCTCATCTTTGTCGCCATATTTATTACAACGTTTCGGCGTTGTACGCTCCGGCCTTCTTCAGTTAGTTGGAATGTCGAACTGAATCCTTTATTTCGCTCACTGGGGTAGACTGTTCTAGTTCCACGTATCATTTTTTTAATGAATGTCAGCTATCAGCTATCTCCTGTTAAGGGTTCAGTTCGACATTCTAACTACCTGAAGAAAGCCGGAGCGTACAACGGCCGAAACGTTGTAATAAATATAGCGACAAAGATGAGGACAATAGTCTGAATAATGTAAAAAATGTGGGAGCTTATACTAAACATCAGAAATTAGCAGCTGAAATTTCTGGGAGACGAAATGAGAAAGGAGGGCTTGGAGAATCTCATACTCCCAGGTCGAAGAGAGAGAGAGAGAGAGAGAGAGAGAAATTATCGCATGACATACCCGACGAGCTTAAGCAAGTGAATGACAGAACGTGGCCTGTGGGAGATGGCAAAATTACAAAACTTATTGAGAGCTACACGATACAGGGTGAAATGGAGAGCCACGACCGCCTACGGGCACATAAAAAGAAAGAAGTGTCTAGAGATTCGGTTAATCTTCAAGAAATTTCGAACTGAACCAATCTATAGGCGTAGATTATTCTCGTTTTGTGTGCATATCTTTTTTTTTCGTTGTGCATATCTTTATTTTCTCTTTTTCACTTTTTCTTCTTCAATGTTCCGACGTGTCCATGGCTCTCCACAGCTTCCTTAGGTATTTATTTCTTTTCGCTATCTCTCTTAATCCCTGTCCTGCCAACCTCTTTCTTTTTCTATGTGACGTATTCTTCCGGAATTGTGGGGGATTATGACTCTCCACTATTTCCTCTCCATTGTAGTTCTTAGTAAATTTTGTCTTTTCGCGAACTCTCTTAATCCCTGCTCTGTCAAATATATATATACGCTTGTCCTTGAATGTGCTGCGTTTCTTTAAGGTGTTGCCGATCATGGCTCTCCCCATTATGCATCTCCTTTTTTTATCGTTTTGCTATTACTCCTAATCGCTGTTCCACTAACTATTTACACAGACTTGTCCTCCTCTGTTGTGTGCCGTGTTCCATCATGACTTGGGCGGATATGGCTCTCCACAACATCCTTGTCCTTTGTAGCTCTTCGTAATTTTTTTCTATTTTTGCTATCTTTCCTAATCTCTTTTCTGAGAACCAGTTGCACAAACCTTCTTCTTCTTCTTCTTCTTCTTCTTCTTCTTCTTCTTCTTCTTCTTCTTCTATATGCTGTGCCTCTTTAGGACGTGAACGATCATAACTCTCCACAGCTTTCTGTCCATTGTAGCTCTTAGTATATTTTGTGTTTTTGCTATCTCTTTTAATCCAAGTTCTGTCAAAACATATTACTTCTTCCTCTTTGTGCTGTCTTCCTTCATAAAGTTTGCGATCGTGGTTCTCCACAACTTTCTGCCTTTGCTGGTTTGGTTTGGTTTGTTTCACCTCATATCAACCTCAATAGTTTATTTAATGCCGACAAAACTTTTACTGCTGCTAATATTTTTTTTTTCTAAAATGTATTGCTGGTAAAGTTTTTCTTTCAAAAATCTATTTCTGGTGATATTTTCTTAAAAAATCTTTTGCAGGCAATATTTTTTCTCTCAAAATTCTATTGCAGGTATTATTTTCCAACAATGTGTTTCTGGTAATACTTTCCAAAAAAATGTGTAGCTGATAATATTTTTTTCCCAAAAACATGTGTAGCTTGTAATATCTTTCCAAAAATATATTGCTGGTAATATTTTGTTCGTAATTTTCCCTTTTATTTATTGGCAATAATTTTTCCTTCAAAAAAGCACTGCTGGCAATAATTTTTTCTACAAAAATATATTGTATTGCTGGTAATATTTTAAAAAAATATATTGCTGGTAATATTTTCAAAAGAAATGTATTGGCGGCAATGTTTTTTTTTTCCTAAAGTGTATTGCTGGTAATATTTTGTCTGTAAAGATTTGCTTTGAAAAGTATTGCCGATAATAGTTTTTCCTTCAAAAAAGAACTGCTAGTAATTTTTCCTTCAAAAATTGTATCACCGATAACAATTTTTCTTTGCAGGTAATAGATCTTTCTTCTAAAATGTATTGCTGACAATAACCGCTTCTTCAAAAAGGTATTGCTGACAATAACCGCTTCTTCAAAAAGGTATTGCTGGCAATAACCCTTTCTTCAAAAATGTATTGCTGGCAATAAACTTTTCTTCAAAAAAATGTATTGCCTGCTATAACACTTTTTTTCAAAAATGTATTGCTGGCAATAGGCCTTCCTTCAAAAATGTGTTGATGGCAATAAACCTTTCTCAAAAATGTTTTTATGAAAATAACCCTTTCCTCAAAAAGGTATTTATAACAATATCCCTTTCTTCAAAAATGTATTGCTGGCAATAACCCTTTCTTCAAAAGTGTTTTGCTGGAAATAACCCTTTCTTCAAAAATGTATTGCTGGCAATAGCCCTTTATTCACAAAATGTATTGATGGCAATAACCCTCTCTTCAAAAATGTATTACAATTCTCTCTTTTTGTTATTAATATAACTGTCCTTATTGTTTGCATTTTCTCTAAAACTTCGTCATTGTTCATATGCTTAGCCCCTGGTATCCTCATCATCCTTCTGTAGAAGTACTTCTCTGTTGGCTCAATTGTTTTCTTCTTCAGTGATATTTTCCATCATCCACTAATATATAGGCGTATTGATATTACATAACAGTTAAGTAATATTTTCTTTGATTCTAATGAGATTTTCTATTTCTTAATACTTTGCTTAACTTTTGTAAGGCATCTTTGGTTAGCAAATTGCTTCTTTGAATTTTTGTGTCACGCATTTCGTCCTAAATCATTTACTAGAAATTTAAATTTTTACGCTTGTTTGATTTTGGTATCTTAAATTCGTAATTCACATTTTAGGCTCATTTTTTTTACGAAGAAGCATGCATTCGGTCTTCTTACAATTGATGATTTGTCCTTTCTTCTTGCTTTCCTTTAGGACTTTCTATATGAGTTCCTGTATTTACTTTTCTGTCTCTGCTATCAGCACTGTGCAATCTAATGTTGCTAAGATTGTTGTCGTCAAAATATATCCTGTCATTATAATTCTCTCAGATTCAGGTCAGTTAAGACTAAATAAGTCCGGCGAGAAGATATATATATATATATATATGTCTTACAAGACTACTTATTTTTATATAATTACAATTAATATGGAAGCCGTTTGTCTTCCTGGGTATGACGATAAACTGCATCCAACTCCAAGGCTTCTGATTAAGGAGGTTTTGAGCAGCGTTGAACTATATCGTAATTGATAGTGTTCCCAGGTCCACCTTCAACCGGGGTGGTAGCACCTGTTAAGATCCCTGCTATGGGTCAATAGTTAACCTCCAAACTGAGGTCAAAAGGTGTAAAAATAGATTTTAATGGTATCAATATATTTTTGTAAAAAGATATAACCAGCAATAAATTTTTGAAGAAAACAATATTACCAGCTATACATTATTACTAACAATACATTTTTTTTAAAGTTACCAGAAATACTTTTTGAAAAAAATATTACTAGCAACAAAAATATTGCCGCCATTAAATAACCCATTAATATTGATATGCCGTAAAACAAATCAAACCAAAGTAGGAGGTTTGCTCACAGTATGAGTTCTGTGCCATTTTAATAACCTTCCCAAATTAATCAAACGTATATAATGGATTTATAATACTCGGCTCAGGGATTGAAGTCGCAATTAATAGCTCATTAAATACCCCGACAAACGCTTCGTCTTTTCTAATTGTAGCCTAGATGTGACAAAAGGTCGAAATCATGGGACAACCAGTGAGAATCGAACTCACTATTCAGCCGTAATTGATCTAGGGAGGCTACCTTGTTAGCCATTACATTACGTCGAAGTACCCATGATGATTTTCTAAGCGTAGCTTACATGCGACACAAAGCCGAATGGGTGGATCACCCAGTGAGGATCGAACACACTATTCAGTTGTAATTGATCTTGCTAGATGAGCTTGTTAATCATTACACTACGTCAAATTACCCAAAATGATTTTCTAAGTGTAGCTTGGATGACACAAAGCCGAATATATGGTTAACCATTACATTAAGTGAAAGTACTAATAATTATTTGCTAAGCGTAGCTTAGATGCGGCACAAGGTCGAATATGTGGAGCACCCAGTGAGCAGCGAAATCATTATTCAATCGTAATTGATCTAGGGAGGCTACCATGTTAACCATTACATTACGTGAAAGTACTAATAATGATTTTCTAAGCGTAGCTTAGATGCGGCACAAGGTCGAATATGTGGAGCACCCAGTGAGGAGCGAAATCACTATTCAGTCGTAATTGTTCTTGCTAGATAAACTTGCTACCCATTACACTACGTCCAATTATCCAAAATGATTTTCTAAGTGTAGCTTGGATAACACAAGGCGGAAAATATGGTTAACCAAGAATTGAACTACTAATATGATTTTCGTAATTGTAGCTTAGATGCGGTTCGCTTTTCGAATATTAACCACATGGTGAAAAATTGTATTCAGTCGTAATTGTTCGAACTAGATAAATGTTCATGCCCATTACACTACGTCCAATTATCAAAATGATTTTTCTAAGTGTAGCTTAGATAACACACAAAGCCGAAAATATGGGTCACCCAGTGAGGATCGAACTCAATATCCAGTCGTAATTGTTCTATTGAGTTCGCTTTTTTTAACTTGTTAACCATTCCAAAACGTTGAAGTGCCTAGAACTCGGTGTTCATAACCATTGCAGTGGTTAAAGCCTCAGTTCAATTTCTTAGATGCGGCTAAAAGCCGAATGTGGGTCACCCAAACAAAATAAGTATTTGTTTCGTTTGGTTGATTTTGAGTCGGCATGTTAACCATTCAACCACGTTGAAATGCCGACAACGGTTTCTAGGAGTGGATTAAAGGATCAGTTCAATTTATGTATTAAGACTGAATAAGACAAACAAAATAAGTTTTGTTTAGTTTGGTTTGTTTTACGGCATGTCAACCTCAATGGGTTATTTAATGCCGACAACATTTTTAGGAGAGATTCGTATGGACAGAATATGCATTTGGTTTAAATTGGTTTGGTTTGGTTTATTTTGTTTTACGGCATATCAACCTCAATGGGTTATTTAATGCCGACAACATTTTTAGGATAGATTCGTATGAATAGAATATGTATTCTTTGGTTTAGATTGGTTCATTTAGTTTTACGGCATATCAACCTCAATGGGCCATTTAATGCCGAGAATTCGTTTTATTTCTAGCAATATTTTTGTTTTGTCAAAAATCTATTTCTGTTAATATTTTTTTATCAAATATGTATAGCTGGTAATATTATTTTTTCAAAAACGGATTGCTGATAATATTTTTCTTCTTCAAAAAAGTATT